GGGGGGGGGGCCTCTGCCGTACGGCATGAACGGCCCTGGTCTGAGCCTCGTTAGTGATTTGTGGTCAGTCAGTCTCTAGGGTGCGCTGTTTCCTCCCGCCACTGTACATTTACATGATTGTGATTGGTTGAACCACCCCCCCGCCCCCCCTCCGCCCCCCCCTTCCTTGTTCCATGTCACACGTCTGGTTTCTCTCCTCCAGTGAAACAAACCTGAAAGTTTGTTTTGACTGATTTTTTTTTTTTTTTGTTTTTCTTTTTCATTTCCGTCCGTTCACTGTCTCCAGATGAATGGACGAGGACACCAGGGGGCGACACTGTCTCACCCACGTCACTCGTCAGTGACTCGTCCACCTGTCTGAAGTCTTTCATCTTGGCTGCGTGTGGACATGTGACGAGTCATAATGAAAGAGCGGCGCGCGTGTGTGTGTGTGTGTGTGTGTGTGTGTGTGTGTGTGTGTGTGTGTGTTGTCTGATGAGACGCTAACACTGCGTTTGTTCCTTCTCTGCAGATGGAGCTGGATGCAGACGATAAGCGCCATCGAACACGCTCCAAAGGTATCTGCATGACCACACACACACACACACACACACACACACACACACACACACTTCCTCTAAAAGGAGGCCCAGTGTCTAAGAACGTCAAGAATCTATGGTTTTTATATTTAAAATATTAAAAAATATATAAAAATATAAAAACGTTCGTCCATTCATCAGTATCTACAGTAATGACCCAGGTCATGTGACCGCCCTCAGCCAATATATACAGACATTATGTTTATATTTTCCATGTATTTATATTGTATACCCACACACATACATGTGTAAATATAGACATTAAGACGTAACGACATACACACGTCTGGTGGTTTTGGGGGTTTTCGTTGTGGCCGTTGAACACCGCGCCGTTCTGTAGCGAAGGCTGCGACTCAATCAGAGTCACGGGCGTCCCGGCTCCACGGCCGGTGAGAGAGATCATCTTTATGGCTGTGAGTTAAATCACTCCATCACTCACCTCCTCCTCAGAGGAGCGCGACGCGCTCTTCTTCCTTTCGTTGTGCGAGGAGCTGAGGCTACGATGCACTGCATAAATTTCACGCTCGTAATTTAAACTCTCAAATAAAAGGACCGACAATAAATACAGAGCAGTGAGTGCTGAACCTGAGGGTCGGGGTCTGCCAGTCCGCCACCAGTGGGCTCCAGTCACGGCTCTCAGTTCATCTGGTTTCATCACAAAACTAT